GGGAGGGTGGAGGGACAGCGCAGGAGGGGAAGACCCTCTATGAGATGGATTGATTCGGTGACTGGGGTAATCGGGATGGGCGTGTCAGAGGCAGTGCAATTGGCACAGAATAGAGCAGGGTTTAGGGCTGTTGTACATAGGGTCGCTGTGAGTCGCAAGCGACTTGATGACACATAACAACAACAAACCATCTGAATGACTTAAAAAGGCACATCTATCACAGGAGTCCTGAAATTGCTAGTTGATTGTTTAGCTTATGATTATGTTGTCAAAATAGTACTGTTGACGCTTAGCCACAAATAGTTTATGGAACTCATATTAATAAGGTCCTTATTAGGGGAACTTTAATTTTAGCATCTTTAGACTGTCTTTGTTTACAGTGCTAATTGTAGCAAAATTGCTTAGAGCAAATTATGCTGAGTACAGATTCTCTGAGCAAGGCAGCTTTCTGCACGGAGCAGAGTTCTCATTCAGGGTTTACCTAGAATGACTTGTCAGGAGAATAGCACTGAATTGGAGCTGACTTATTTCTGAGCGAGTGACAAATGCACTCTGCAAGCATGGTGTTTCTAGTTTTCGTTTCAAAAGATTGGAAAAGAACGCTATTTAGACTGGAGTTTTTCCTGAAGAGCCAGATAGATAGTAAATATTTTAAGCTTTGTGGGCCGTATTATCTTTGTCACAGTTATTCAGCCCTGCTGTTGTAGTTCCAAAGTAGCCATAGGCAATATATAAATGCATGTCACTTTGTGTTCCACTCAAACACAGTCATTTTTTTTTTAAAAATTCAATGGGCTGGTTTGATTCATAGGTTGTAGTTTGCTGACTTCTAATTTTGATTATACAATGACAAGTAGCCCACAACTCAAAACGGGCTTAAAGCATTTATCTTTGTTCCATTTTCCTCTGCAGGCAGAAGGCTGATCTTTGAAAATATGTATTTGGGAGACAGTTGCGTTGTCTTGAATACCTTGTGCTGGTGCTGCCACCGAAAAATCTGGTTACACTCCGGGGAGGCCTGCTTCCACTGCAGGACGGCACCCCCACGGCCCTGAGATGAGAGAGCGGCCTGAGCTGGCACACCATGAATAGATACACAACGATCAGGCAGCTTGGGGATGGAACCTACGGCTCTGTCTTGCTGGGGAGAAGCATCGAGACCGGGGAACTGATTGCCATTAAAAAGTAAGTTTTAGCCTTCATGCTCATGAGATGATTTCGAACAAGCTATTGTAGGCATTGACACGACGCTTCCCATTCCCTGTCTTTGGAAACTTTCTAAAAAAGAGTGATAGGGGGAAAAAGAGTGAGTAGGAGGCATGGCAAACTATAGATAATTGATTTTTTGGATGAAATGATAACTACTACAATGATGTCTTAAAAACATTCTCACTTTAGAGTTACTACTTTGCATCTAGTAGTATCTGAGCATCCCCTGGTCAGCCGAGAGAACAAACAGTTGTCTTGGAAAGGGTGCAACTAGAGTACTCTTTGGAGACAAGAATGAGGAGGCTTCACCTCACATACTTTGGGCATGTTGCTAAGAGGGGCTGTTCCTTGGAGAAAGACATAATTCTGTGAAAGGTGGAGGGTCAGCAAAGAAGAGGAAGACCCTCAACAAGGTGAATGGACATGGTCATTGCAGTAATGGGCTCCTTTGTGTCAGGAAGTGTGAGAATGGCACAGGATAGAACAGGGTTCAGATCTTTTATTCATAGGGTCGCTATGAGTCATACTCAATACAATGTCACCTAACAACAACAACAACTTTTCCTGATTGATTCTTATATTCTGAGGGACCTCTGGTGGCCTAGTGTGTGTGGAGTTACACTGTGGTTTGAATCCACCTGCTGTTCTGTGTGAGAAAGAGAGGCAGTCTTCTCCTGGGTGATTTAAAGCCTCTGAAAATCTGCTGGAGTGTCAGTTATGTTATGGGCCAGTTCTGACTCAACAGCAATGAGTTTGAGGGTTTTTTTCTCTCTCTCATATTATAAGGTGGTAACGGGCAGAATAAAGGAACCTCATTTTACAGGAGAGGAAACTGAGGCTGGGTGAATTTCAGAGACTGGGTCATTTGCATGTGTGGTAGTCTGGTAAACATTGATTCCTTCCACTCTGGCCTATTTGCCCTTTGCTATGTGAGCCCAAACCCTTTATATAGATTATATGCTGCTGCATAACGGATTATCCTAAAACCTGCTGACTTAAAACAACACGTTTGTTAATCTCAACAGTTTCTGTTGAACTAGGAATCAGGACATGTCTTAGCTGCATGCTCGGCTTCAGAATCTCTCCTAAGAGTGTCATCACGATGTTGGCCCTGTGTTAGGGTCTCAAATGAATTGAGGCATTTTAAAAATGTAAAGTTGAGAAGTATAGTTGTGACATTTAACAAATCTTCAAATCAGTTGCTGAGTTCATTAAAATATTTCTTAAAAAAATTTTTAAAAATGTAAAGTTGAACTTGTTACTGGAAATAACCATACTCTTGTTTCTTTTTCTCTTAGAATGAAAAGAAAGTTTTATTCCTGGGAGGAATGCATGAACCTTCGGGAGGTTAAGGTATTTATTAATACACCAGAGAATAATTTATGTATTAAAATTTATTCCATTTAAATTTGTTTACAAATGAACAAAAGGGGACAGATGGTAGCACTGGTTTATAGATGAAAATAGATTACTATGTTATTATATTAATGAGTATGCTTGGCTGAAAGTAAAGAGTGCCAGAGGAGTATCTGTCTGTGTTTCATTGACTGCGCAAAAGTGTTTGACTGTGTGGATCACAGCAAACCATGGCTAACCTTGAGAAGAATGGGAATCCCAGAACCCTTGATTGTACTCATGTGAAACCTATACCTGGACCAGGAAACAGTTGTCAGAACAGAGCAAGGAAACACTGCATGGTTCAAAATTGGGAAAAGAGTACATCAGTGATGCATCCTCTCTATATACCCTTTCAATCTATATATGGAACCAATAATTCAGGAAGAGAACTTTATGAGAAGGAATGTGGTGTCAGGATTAGAGAAAGATTCATCAGTAATCTTCGTTATGCAGATGACACAACCTTTCTTGCTGAAACTGAGGAGGACCAGGAGTGTTTGCTGAAGAAGGTCAAAGACTATAGTCTGCAGTTTGGATTGAAGGTCGACGTAAAAAAGACAGAGATTCTCACCAATGGGCCAATTGGCAGCACCATAAAGGATGGAGAAGAAATTGAGGTTGTTAATAATTTAAGCTTCCTCACCTCCACAGTTGACATTCTTGGCACAAGCAGTCAAGATAGCAAATGACGAATTGCTCTGGGAAAGTCTGCTGTCAGGGACCTCTCAAAAGTGCTAAAGAGCAATGATGCCATTCTGGAGACTAAGGTACACCTAATTCAGGCCATGGGCTTTGTAATTACTTGCAGTGCATCAGAGAACTGAACAGTGACCAAAGTTGACAAAAGAAGAATCAATGCCTTTGAGTTGTCGTGCTGGAAAAGAGTATTGAACTTACCATGGACTGCCAAGAGAACAAACAGAATTATCCTGGAGAGGGTGAAACTATCTTGCTCCTTAAAGACAAGGATTTTGAAACTGTCTTACATACTTTGAGCATGTGGCCTGGAGGGACCAGTCCCTGGAGAAGAACATCATGCTTGGGAGGATGGAGGGACAGTGCAGGAGAGGAAGACCCTGGATGAGATGGATTGACAAAGTAACTGGAATAAATAGGGGTAGGTATGTCAGGACAATGTGATTGGTTCAGGATATGGCAGATGTCAGAGCTATTGTACATAGGGTCTTTGTGAGTCACAGATGACTCAATGACACATAACAACAACAACTTTTGGGTTTTTTTTTAATTTATTATGAATTTCAATGAAAATTTACAGAGACTTTGGATTTCCAATCATTCATTGTTACACTTTTCTTCCCTCCCAGCCCTCGCCCCCTAGTACACTACCCTCTTGTAAAAGTAAAAGAAAAACTATTTCATCGTTTTACAATCCCTCCCCCCACCAGGTCCATTCCACTATGAAGCCATCATTCTGGACTCCTGTCATGACAAAAATACCTAATCACATATCCCTTTTAAATAGTTTTCTCTCTCATCTGTTTCAATGCAGTATACATTATTGAACTCATCTTTCTCAGTTTCCTCCCAACCCCATGTCAGTCCTGTTTTACAACAGTGGCACCATGCAGTATTTGTCCTTCTGTGACTGACATACTTCACTCAGCATAATGTCCTCCAGGGTCACCCATTTTTAATAACATTGCATGAGTTCCTTGTTTTTTAATGCATCATAGTATTCTATTGTGTGAATATACCACAGCTTCTCTATCCATTCATTTGTTGATGGGCACTTAGGTTATCACTTAGGTTATTTCCAACTCCTTGCTATTGTGAACAAAGCTGCAATAAACAAGGGTGTGCATATATCTGCTTGGATGTCAGTTATGGTCTCTTTGGGGTATATTCCTAGTAGTGGAATTGCTGGGTCAAATGGTATCTCTATTTGCAACTTTTTGAGAAAGCGCCGTACCGTCTTCCACAGTGGTTGCACCATTTTACACTTCCACCAACAGTGAATAAGGTTTCCAGTTTCTCCACAACCTCGCCAGCATTTGTTGCTTGCTGTTCTGTTAAATTTTGCTATTCTGACTGGGGTGAGATGATATCTCATAGTTGTTTTGATTTGCATCTCTCTTAGAGCTAGGGATTTTGAACATTTCTTCATGTGCTTGTTAGCCATCTGAATGTCTTCTTTGGTGAAGTGTTTGTTCATATCCTGTGCCCATTTTTCTATTGGATTATTTACCTTTACCTTGTTGTGGTGAACAATAACTACTTTTACTAGAAAACATTTATCTCCTTTGCAAACTTTTTTTTACTAAAAATGTTTGTTTCATTGTGTTTTCAGTGAAAACTCATCAGTAAATAAGCTTCTCCTTTAATAATTTTTATACACATTGTTCTGTGCTATATTATTTACAATTTTTATATGTCAGCATTCTCATAATTTTTATTCTATTACTCCAGCTTCCCCTTGCTTTTTCATCATTGCTTTTGGATAAATGTTGACTGTTTCATGCAAACTTTTTCTGAATCAAAATGAGATACTTTCTTCCTGGAAATGCATTTCTGTAAAGTGAACCAAATAAAATTTCTCACACAAGATGAATTCTTATCCTATTGCACTTACAAAGACTTTGTTGCTAGGTGCCATTGAGTCACGTACAATTCTTAGTGACCGTATGAACAACAGATCTGTCCCTTGTCCTATCCTGTGCTGTCCTCACAATCTCTGACACACTCAAGCTGTTTGCTACAGTCACTGTGTCAATCCACCTTTTTTCTCCTTCACCCTTCCTCCACTTTTCCAAGTATGATGTCCCTCTCCAAGGAATATGCCCAAAGTATGTGAGATAAAGGTTCATCATTTTTTTTCCCCGAGGAGCACTCTGGCTGCTCTTTCTTCAAGACATAGCTATTTGTTCTTTTGTTAGTCTATGGGATAGTCAGTACTCTTCTCCAACATCACAGCTCAAGGACATCAGTTCCTCTTCTGTCATCCTTTTTCATTGTCCAGCTCTCAGATGCATGGATAGCAAGTGATGGAAAAGACCATGGCCTGAATCAGGCACACCTCAATCTTTAAACTGACATCATTGCTCCTCAATAATTAGGAAAGGTCCTTAACTACAGACTTTACCAGTCAATACATCTGATCTCCTGATTGCTGATATCAAGTGTATTGATTATATATCCACATAAGATGAAGTTGTTGATGATTTCAACCTTTTCTCAATCTGACATGATACTGCCTATTGGTCCAGTGGTGAATATTTTTGTTTTCTTGACGTTGAGGTGCAATCCATACTGAAGGCTGTGTAGTATTTCATCTTCTGCTTTTGCACAGGTGCTTCAAGTCCTCCTCATTTTCAGGAGGCTAGGTGGTGTCATCATCTTAAGAATATATTTGAAGCACTGAACACCAGTGATCAAGGGTCAGATGAGTTGTGGGAGGACATTAAGGATATCATTCATGAAAAGAGCAAAAGGTCATTAAAAAACTAGAGGAGAAAGAAAACCACCAAAATGGATGTCAGAGAGATCCTGAAAATTACAATAAAGTGCTGAGAAGCCAAAGCAAAGGGAAGAGAGGCTGGAATAAGAGAGCTGCACAAAAGATTTCAAAAGGCAGCTTAGGAAGCCAAAGCACATTTCTATGACGGAATGTGCAGAGACCTAGAATTGGGGAATAAGAAAGGAAGCGCTTACTCAGCATTTTTCAAACTGAAATAAGGAGGGGAAAAAAATCAAGCCTCAAATTGCAATACTTAGGAATGCTATGGGCAAAATATTGAATGATACGGGCAATGCCAAAAGTAGAGAGAATACACAGAGTCACTGTAGCAAAAGAATTGATCCTCACTGAAATATTTCAGGAAGTACAAAGACTTTATCACCCATAAATCTCTTATAGAAGCAAGATCTCGGACCCTGGGGCTAATGATTCGGGTCTGGACCTGAAGGCAAACTCGACTCTCTACCGAGAATTCTCGTCTTGAACATTTTTAAAACATACTTCATTTTCCTCTCTGTAGATTTGCCTGTAAGCTCCTCACCCCCTGGACATTTCAGCTCTTGCTTGTGATGCCTTTCAAGCAGATAGGAAGAAAAGATAGCAGCAACCAGAAAGCCTCCAAGATGGGCTAGACAAGTTCAGCAGGGCTTGTGTTTATTGCTCAGAGAGAGCCAGGAATCTAACCAAAAAAAAGTTATCAGACTGGTTGCATCATTCTAGAACGATCTGGCAAGTTGTGCAGAATAGCTCCTGCCAGAAGCTTGTCTTGTGGGAGAAAAGGTATCACAAGAGGCTTACTTTGTTCTCATTTGCTGACTGTATTTCTTCTCTCTTCCCAGCTGCTTGAAGTAACCTGATCCCTTTCCACAATTCCCCTGTTCTGATCCTAGGCTGTTTCCTTCCAGATTTTGATATTTGTTTAACATTCTCATATCTGCAAACATTTGTTTGTTTGTTTCATAAAAGGGGATGTTCTTTGCAAATGAGAGATAAAGACAACTTATCGCCAGTGCTGTCACTGACTTCGTTCCTCTGGGAGGGGTGGTCATTTGAGCTAGAGAGCTCACCCTGCTAGGAAAAGTTCTGAGGCTCCTGTGAAGGACTGGGCCCATCAAAATCTGATCAATCAGGAACCTGCCTCGTGAGCAAACAGACGTGTGCATTCCTTTGGCCACTGCACACAAATTAGGTTGCTGCTTACAGATCCAATAGACTAGGCTCTGTATCCATACCACTGGTGATGTAGACACACAATAATGCACAGGACTATGCTCTATGTTGTAAGAAGAGGGAAATGCAGATGTGGTAGGAAAGACAGATAATTATAGAGCTTCCGTGAAGTTCTCAGAGCCCTTGTCCTCATCCCCTCTTTGCCTTTGCTTTTCTCAGAAGCAGATGGGGGGGGGAGGGTTCTCATCCCACGTCAGGGGCTTCTCAGTGGGATTCCTCCTTCGTGAGCACCTCCTGTGTAATTAAACTTCCCTTTGTAAGGAGGAGCGTGCATGGATCATGGACACATATGGACAGATGGGAAGTCAGAATTTCAGAGCATCAGGTCATCTTTGTCAGTCTTTTTGAACACTCCCCAGTTGACGATGCCTGGTGACCGTTAGCTGGTGATCTCACCCCAAAGCTGCTGCCTACTCCAGCACCAGAAAATGAAAGCCTCAGCTTCTTTTATTGGCTCCCCTCTGGCCACTGTCCTAGTATGAACTCTGTGATTGGGCAGGGACAAGCCAAAAATAGCCCACTGGTACATGGAGTGGACAGCAAGGTAATGATGAAGTGCTGACCCTCTTGAATCAGTTAGCCATGTCAGCTTTTCTGCATCGAGTTAACATTGATTCCAGAAAGTACTGTTTATTAAATTTGCCAATGAAATATGCATTGTGTCATGGGTGAATAGCATTGCTGGGATTCTGTTTCTAAACAGATGTGGGGTCACTTTTCTTTTTCCAACAGCAGATTTTTCTCTCATGGTGTTCTTCTTTGTATTTCAGTCCTTAAAGAAGCTCAACCATGCCAACATAGTAAAATTGAAAGAAGTCATCAGGGAAAATGATCATCTTTATTTTATTTTTGAGTACATGAAAGAAAACCTTTACCAGCTCATTAAAGAAAGGTACAGTTTGACAGTGTCTTAGAAATGTTTCAAAAAGGATGCTTGCTATAGTCCCCCAAGATTTTGTGTAATTATTTAATGGTTATGTCACTCCAGCTTTGTCATTTGAATTTGCCCATTAAATGAAGGTCCGGGTTCAGCTTTCTTCTACTAAGGTCGTATGATATTTTTCTTAACAGCTACAGTAAATCCTGTAAAAATTAGACCCTGAGAGGCAAGAGCCTGTCAGAGAAGAATGGTATAACTAGTTGTCAGTAAAAATGAGCAATGGGAAAGTGGATTGCACCCTGTGAAAGCTAGAAAGCTTGCAAGACTTGGAAAAGCCAAAGCTGCCCTGTTGTCTTCTAGCTCTCATAGGTTCTGCTGTAGTTTCATGCCAGCTGTTTTCAAGCTTACGGGGATATTTCCCCAAGCAGCTCAGCGTTTAGCACACTCTGCAGCTCGAGATTCACACAAGCAAGTGTGGGCAGAGTGACTAGTCAGAAGTGTGTGTAGTATCATTTTTTTGAGATCACTATTGGAATCTTCCAAGTTTATTTTCATTCCTCTCTTGCCACCATGCTGGAGGCTTGCCTTTCAGGAAGAAGAGTCTAATCCATTTACGGGGGGCATGGTAATTTTGAACTTTAAAAGTGAACCATGTAAAGCTTCTTGGTGGCAAAATGAGTGTCATCTGTAGCATCTTCCTGAGTGATGTTACTGAACAAGTATGGTCTCCATTGTCAATAACAACAGTAAAGCTGTGTGATTTTCCCACCCAGGGCAAAAATGTTATTGTCCATTATATTCAATATGCCTTCATTCCCAAAAGGCTTCAAGTTTTCTCCACAGAAATATTTTTTAAAGTTTAGGCTGGGGAGCTCTGGTGGCCTAGTGGCAAGGAGCTGCAACTACAATCCCCGAGGCACACGGTTCAAATCCACCAGACGCTCTGCCGGTAAAGGAGAGACAATCTCCTCCTGTACCAGTCAGATCTGATTTGACGGTACACTCACACAAAAATAATAAAATTAAAAAAAAAAGTTTAGGCTATATTACTGGGAGAGAAAATTTTTAGATTTGCATATGATATATGGAAATAATTTTTTCCCTCCCTTTACTATAAAATGTATCATCTTCTTTGTTCGTAGTTGAGTGTATCTGGTGTTTGTAAAGCTGTTTTCTTGTGAGGATAAATGATGATTTGTGAGTTGGGTTTTTTTTTCCTTCTTCTTTCTTTGTTCTTTATACCAAAAGATGAAATTAATGATTAGCATGTATGAAAATGTTTTCTTCTTTTCTTACTCTATACAATTGAAAGAACTAAAATCAAGGTGGGGGGTGGTTAAACCCAAATTTGTAACTTTTAACATTTTCTCTCCCTCCCACAGAAATAAGCTGTTCCCTGAGTCGGCCATCAGGAATATCATGTACCAGATACTGCAGGGACTGGCATTTATTCATAAACACGGTAGGTGATTCGTGGGTATTGTTCTTTTGAGTGGCAGCAAATTTCCTCACCAGGTAGAAGGTGTAGGCGGCATCCCTGCCTTTTGTGATTGATACTCAGAAAAGATAGGATTGTTGAAAACTAGAACAATAGATTGTAGACTATATCATCTTGTGTAACTTGATTTCTGAGTTTCTCTCATTATTATAATGTGCCTATGTATTTTTATTCTTTAGACTTTAACATCCAGGTTGTTGGTTATAGAGCCAAGAATTAGTTCTGACCTTTAGTTGGTGTCATGAAGAGAAAGCAAAGATTAGCATCCAAAGAAATTGCTCATGTGCTCCTTTATTGACTAACACCCTTACCATGGCTTCTCATTATTTAAATATACTGCATCTTGTTTCAGAAGGGTGGAAAAGGGGCTCAGCAGGGTTTATGTGACACTGGAAAAGAAAATTTAAAAAATAATAATGATTAAAAGAAAGAGGAGAGGAAAAATATGATGTGATGTAGCCAGGAATGAGGTTAACTTTCAAAACACATGCCAGAAGATTTTAAACACACAAAATCCCAGGCCACACACTTCATTCTGAGCTTGCTGGAAGTTGCTTTCACCTCTAGGTCAAAGTAGATAAGTTGCCCAAGAGAAGCAGAAGTAGTAATATTATTCATGATGCCAAAACTGGAGATATGTTTTCTCGTATGGATCCTCTTGGAGGGGCCTGTATGTAACATGACTGCCTTGTAAACACAGTGACAGGTTACACATATCACAGCTCTCAATGTAAGAGACTGATCAGAGAGAATCGTTCTGCTGGGGCCTGGTATGATTTGCTCGAGGGTTGGTCTGGTTAATCCGGGGGGAGATTTAGAATATCCAGAGGAGCAGATGGCTGCATACCATTCAGGAAATCCTCCATCACTCTTGTTTTTTCTCAGCTCAGCTTTGGAAAGGTATTGAGAAGCAGTGTGTTGTGATTACATTCTCCTGCAAGGATCAAAAGCATCACTAGATTTTATTAGTAGCTAGGCACGGGCCCTGATAGGGATTTATATTTTTTTGTGAACACAGAGCTGCCTGGATGGACATATTTACAAGTGGAAGCTGCAGTCACTTCAGGAGGTCACTGGAACATATAGACAGAAGGGTGAGGCACTTGGTTTTACATGAGCAGAAATCCTTTTACCCTCAGTCTAATGCACCAACAAATGAGTTTCCCTCCCCATTAAAGAGGCTGGGTTGAAGCCCTCTGTCAATACAGTCAGTGCGGATTTGATGCAAATTGGCAGTGACTAGAAAAGACCTTGACCTGAGATGCTGGTCACAGCAGCATGTGGCCTAGTATATGTGGATGGTTACCAACCGGCTCTTTCTGCACAGAGCAATCAGAGAGCATTATGCAAAGTAGATTCAAACTATGAATTAATTTCTAGTAAAAAATATCCCTGATTCAACTGACACTGATAGAATCAATACTTTAGCCTTTCTTGACACAGAATTCAGACAGGGCAGTGTGACGTTTGTCAAACACTAAAAACTTCTGCTATATTTTATTAGACACAGCTAGGAGGAGAAGGGTTACTTATCAGATTTAAGAGCTCAGGAAACAAGAAATGATGTAAAATCAAAAGAGTCCCCAGAAGAGACAGGCCAACTAGCTTATTTTCAAATAGTGACCATAGAAATTCTGATTGTTTAGTACTGGACCTAAGAGAACATTGATATTCTTCAGCTTTCTCTCTCTCTCTTTTCCCTTCTTTTAATGAGACATAGAACAAACAAAACTCTGCCATCAAATAGGAACCAATTCATAGCTGATCCTCCATTGGGTTTCTGAAGTTATAAATCACATGGGAGGAGATTGCCTGTCTTTCTTCCTCACAGCTGCTGGAAGATTTTAGACGGTAGTTTCAAATTGCCAGAGAGGTATAGGCGTAGCCTTTGGGTTAGGAGTGAAACTCCCTATGGGCTAGGCCGTCAGAGGTGGCTAAGACTTAGATACTGTCTGAAAAAAACTTGCTGCCTCTTATCTAGTAATTATTTTTAATTTTATTTTATTATTTTGTGTGTATACCATCAAATTGGATCTCACTGATGCAGGAGGAGATTGTCCCTCCTTCTCCAGCAGAGCATCTGGTGGATTCAAACCACATACCTCTGGGATTGCAGTGCCGCTTCTTGCCACTAGGCCACCAGAGCTCCCTTATCTAGTAATTCTTAACCAATGTATATATACAAGATCCTGTGTGAAAAACAATGTATATGAACTTTGTAAGTAAGCCTGTATAAAATAAAAATTTTATTTACAAAAAAAAGAAAGAAAAAAATTGTAACGTAAGTGTAAAAAAAGTGTGTGTGTGTGTGTATGTATGTATATATACATACACACACACACACATACAGAGCCATACATGTACACAAATAGACACATTTGTGTACACATGTCTCCCAGTTCTTTTTCTATTTATGCAAACACCCACATGCACACACGTACATTCATCCTCCTACTCACATACCCCACATGCATACATTTTTATTGCAATGCTTTAGCATCTATGTACTATTATATCAATACAACTCTTGGACACTCTGAATTACTGGGTTTCCCTCACGTGTCTCAGTCACGAGGAGAGTGGATGGAAGTAGTGAGAGGGAAGATTGAGTCTGTGGAGAAGAAGGTTAGACCATCTTTTATAACCAACATTTCCCCAGCACTTTTACCATTAGCAAATATCCTTTTTTATTTCCGCCTCCCCTGAATATTTTAAGTCCCCAGTTCTAGTTTGCACTTAACAGCCTTTCATCTGTTACTTTATTTATTCTATAACAACTTACCAGCTAGAAGAACAAATGGTATCTCTTCATCTCAAAGACAAGGAAACTAAAATTCAGAGAGGCTTAACTGTGTGCTAAAGATCACACTGCTAGAAATTGTGAGAGTACAGATTAGCTCAGATTTTTCTGCTCATTCTGCCTCCCTGGCAAAACCTGTCTTCCTCAAAGGAAGCAAGAGAATGAAAAGATTGGTAAAAATTACAGTGCTAATTGTAGGTGTACTGGATACTGAATTTACAGGTCTTTATCTCATTTCATTGATTCATTGACAAAGAAGATTTTTAGAAAACTGTGATTTTTTTCATGTGGCAGCAAGTTGACTCTGATTAAATGCACAAGAAACTCCATTTTATTCCTTTTCTCCAACAATGGAGAAATAATCGAAAGCATTTCACAGATTTGTCTTACAAGTTTCTGGCTCCCATCTGGTTGCTCGGTCTCACTGTGAGAAGGTGAGCTCTGCCCATGGGGAGTAGAATCCTTTGAGAGGACTGAACAGAGCTGCAGGTAGTTGCTATGGCCATAGTTCATGTCACCGAGTACTTTTCCTCCTACTGGGAAATAAAATATGGCTCTGGTTGAGCAATGCCAAGCATATGTACTTTGCAGGAATTAAATCATGAATGCAAAGCTGCACACCGCATCCTTGACCTGCCCTTACAGATCTCCTGGTCACACTTAACCATGGAGGTCACATCAGAAATGCATTGGCTGATTTCAAGGTTAATGCTTTGCCCCAAGAAGTGCTTCTCTGCTTCTGTGTTTCACCACCCATGACATTGAGACAGTCCTTTGCCCTTCTGTGCATGGCTGTCCCTATTTTTAACTCAGAGATTTCACCTGTGGCCTTTCTGGACAAAACCCTGTGGGTTTAAATTCAGTAATATCTGTGAAACCACAGCTTCCAGAGCAGGAAGATGTGTTCCACAAATGCATAACATTTCAATAATCGTTTTGTTACCTCTCTATATTTAGATCAGGTTCATCCTGAACAGAATAGTAGAGGGGAGAAAGCCTTCATTGTGGCCTAATGTTTTCCTTGCCTGAGGGTTTTTTATGAAAAAGTAAGCACAACACGCTTTTCTGCCAGCATGAAAGAAAAAAACTCCTCTGTTACTCATCTGGCTTGCTGTGCTTCAGGTTAAATTGAAAGTCTGTTCCTGTCTTCTGGAAGCCTAACAGTTTTAAACAGGAAAGTCCCTCCTGCAGCAGCCCTTTGCCATGACAAGATCTCTAGATGACCTGGTTATAAGGGTGCTTTTGTATCAGAAGCTCCGAGGAAGTCATAGGCACATTGTTTTGGGTGGCAATGCACACATCAAGGGTGCACATACCCATCCTGAGACCCATTAGATCCAAGTTCTAATGCCACCTCCTCCTATGCAGGTCCTATGCATGTTACTAGGTGCACACCCCTTAAATCTTCTCTGCAAAAAAAAAAAAAAAATAGAGCCGTGTCTGGCTTCCCCCTTCACCAGGTATTGAAGGATAAAATGAGATACTGCTAGTAATGACCAGCTCTTGTAAGGTGACTATGTAGCAGGTGCTGCTCCAACAACCTTATGAATCTTAACACAAACATATATAATCCTGCAAAACAGCACCACAAGGTAGATGCTGCTATGTCCCCACTTTACAGCCGAGGAGACAGATGCACAGAGATGAGAAAGTGATTTTCCAGTCAAAGTGTAACAGATTTGAAATCAGGCGGTCTGACTGGTCCACACGCTTAATCACTGTGCTGTGTTGCTTCTCGTTATGTGAGAAGTTATGCTTGTGAAAATAGTATATTTTGTGAAGGTCTTATATTTTGTTGAGACTATGTGAAGCAAACCATACGCCACCTCAACCCTCAACGTGTTCAACATGTATGATTCGGTGGCATTGATTACATTCTCTGAGTTGTGCAACCATCCTGATTTGTGTCTGGAATGCCACGTAAATTTAGAAGCAATAATTTAGGCCAGCTAAAGAAGGAACTGGACTGCCAAAAGAACAAACAGATATGGCCTGGAAAGAGTGTGGCCAGAGTGCTTTTTGGAGGCAGGGATGATGAACTTCGTCTTTTATTCTTTGAGCATGAAACTAGGTGAGGCTATTCCTTGGAGAAGGGCATCATGCTTGGAAAGATGGAGGGTCAGTAATCTATCTTAATAAGATAGAGTGACACTATGACTTCAGC